ACACTTAACACAACAGTAAATCCTGGGGTTACACCACACACTTAACACAACAGCAAATCCTTGGGTCACACGACACACTTAACACAACAGCAAATCCTGGGGGTCACACCACACACTTAACACAACAGCAAATCCTGGGGGTCACACCACACACTTAACACAACAGCAAATCCTGGGGGTCACACCACACACTTAACACAACACTAAATCCTAGGGTCACACCACACACTTAACACAACAGTAAATCCTGGGGTCACACCACACACTTAACACAACAGTAAATCCTGGGGTCACACCACACACTTAACACAACACCAAATCCTGGGGGTCACACCACACACTTAACACAACAGAATCCTTGGGTCACACCACACACTCAACACAACAGCAAATCCTGGGGGTCACACTAAACAGCAAACACTGTGATCTCCTGTCTGTACTAGGCTCACCAACACACCAGTGACTCATTCATCAACAGTGTAAGGTCTACATAAGCTGACTGTTTAGAATGTCTGAGTTCACACAGCTGAATATCTGCTACAACTGTCACGGTAAATACTGTCTACACCATTATACACACACAGTGCCAACGGTATCCCCAGTGCCAGTTAGTTGTCCCAATATTTTTATCTGCACACCATATGTTCAGTTGCGTATCGATTCTTCCTTCGGCTGAGAACGCTGATCCTAGATATCTAACTTCACTTGTCTGTAGTCTTATCTCTGTATTACTGACTTGTATTGATTATGCTTTATCGTTACAGCCAATGGAATCTCTGTCTAACCAATTGTAAAACTGAGCTAGAAAGGTACCAGTAACATAGACCATGGAAGGGGTGGTTCCTAGGGTACCAGTAACATAGACCAAGGAATGGGTGGTTCGTTAGGTACCAGTAACATAGACCAAGGAAGGGGTGGTTTCTAGGGTACCAGTAACATAGACCATGGAAGGGTTGGTTCCTAGGGTACCAGTAACATAGACCAAGGAATGGGTGGTTCGTAGGGTACCAGTAACATAGACCAAGGAAGGGGTGGTTCGTAGGGTACCAGTAACATAGACCAAGGAAGGGGTGGTTCGTAGGGTACCAGTAACATAGACCAAGGAAGGGGTGGTTCGTTAGGTACCAGTAACATAGACCAAGGAAGGGGTGGTTCGTAGGGTACCAGTAACATAGACCAAGGAAGGGGTGGTTCGTTAGGTACCAGTAACATAGACCAAGGAAGGGGTGGTTCGTAGGGTACCAGTAACATAGACCAAGGAAGGGGTGGTTCCTAGGGTACCAGTAACATAGACCAAGGAATGGGTGGTTCGTAGGGTACCAGTAACATAGACCAAGGAAGGGGTGGTTCCTAGGGTACCAGTAACATAGACCAAGGAATGGGTGGTTCGTAGGGTACCAGTAACATAGACCAAGGAAGTGGTGGTTCCTAGGGTACCAGTAACATAGACCAAGGAATGGGTGGTTCGTAGGGTACCAGTAACATAGACCAAGGAAGGGGTGGTTCCTAGGGTACCAGTAACATAGACCAAGGAAGGGTTGGTTCGTAGGGTACCAGTAACATAGACCAAGGAAGGGGTGGTTCGTAGGGTACCAGTAACATAGACCAAGGAAGGGGTGGTTCGTAGGGTACCAGTAACATAGACCAAGGAAGGGTTGGTTCGTTGGGTACCAGTAACATAGACCAAGGAAGGGGTGGTTTCTAGGGTACCAGTAACATAGACCAAGGAAGGGGTGGTTTCTAGGGTACCAGTAACATAGACCATGGAAGGGTTGGTTCCTAGGGTACCAGTAACATAGACCATGGAAGGGTTGGTTCCTAGGGTACCAGTAACATAGACCAAGGAAGGGGTGGTTCGTAGGGTACCAGTAACATAGACCAAGGAAGGGGTGGTTCGTAGGGTACCAGTAACATAGACCAAGGAAGGGGTGGTTCCTAGGGTACCAGTAACATAGACCAAGGAAGGGGTGGTTCCTAGGGTACCAGTAACATAGACCAAGGAAGGGGTGGTTCCTAGGGTACCAGTAACATAGACCAAGGAAGGGGTTGGTTCGTTAGGTACCAGTAACATAGACCATGGAAGGGGTGGTTCCTAGGGTACCAGTAACATAGACCAAGGAAGGGGTGGTTCGTTAGGTACCAGTAACATAGACCATGGAAGGGGTGGTTCCTAGGGTACCAGTAACATAGACCATGGAAGGGGTGGTTCGTTAGGTACCAGTAACATAGACCATGGAAGGGGTGGTTCGTTAGGTACCAGTAACATAGACCAAGGAAGGGGTGGTTCGTTAGGTACCAGTAACATAGACCATGGAAGGGGTGGTTCGTTAGGTACCAGTAACATAGACCATGGAAGGGGTGGTTCGTTAGGTACCAGTAACATAGACCAAGGAAGGGGTGGTTCGTTAGGTACCAGTAACATAGACCATGGAAGGGGTGGTTCGTTAGGTACCAGTAACATAGACCATGGAAGGGGTGGTTCGTTAGGTACCAGTAACATAGACCATGGAAGGGGTGGTTCCTAGGGTACCAGTAACATAGACCAAGGAAGGGGTGGTTCGTTAGGTACCAGTAACATAGACCATGGAAGGGGTGGTTCGTTAGGTACCAGTAACATAGACCATGGAAGGGGTGGTTCGTTAGGTACCAGTAACATAGACCATGGAAGGGGTGGTTCGTTAGGTACCAGTAACATAGACCAAGGAAGGGGTGGTTCGTTAGGTACCAGTAACATAGACCAAGGAAGGGGTGGTTCGTAGGGTACCAGTAACATAGACCATGGAAGAGGTGGTTCGTTGGGTACCAGTAACATAGACCATGGAAGGGGTGGTTCGTTGGGTACCAGTAACATAGACCAAGGAAGGGGTGGTTCCTAGGGTACCAGTAACATAGACCATGGAAGGGGTGGTTCGTTAGGTACCAGTAACATAGACCATGGAAGGGGTGGTTCGTTGGGTACCAGTAACATAGACCATGGAAGGGGTGGTTCGTTGGGTACCAGTAACATAGACCATGGAAGGGGTGGTTCGTTAGGTACCAGTAACATAGACCAAGGAATGGGTGGTTCGTTAGGTACCAGTAACATAGACCATGGAAGGGTTGGTTCGTAGGGTACCAGTAACATAGACCATGGAAGGGGTGGTTCGTTAGGTACCAGTAACATAGACCATGGAAGGGGTGGTTCCTAGGGTACCAGTAACATAGACCATGGAAGGGGTGGTTCCTAGGGTACCAGTAACATAGACCAAGGAAGGGGTGGTTCCTAGGGTACCAGTAACATAGACCAAGGAAGGGGTGGTTCCTAGGGTACCAGTAACATAGACCATGGAAGGGGTGGTTCGTTAGGTACCAGTAACATAGACCATGGAAGGGGTGGTTCGTTGGGTACCAGTAACATAGACCAAGGAAGGGGTGGTTCCTAGGGTACCAGTGAAAATACCAAGAAGGGTTGGTTCGTAGGGTACCAGTAACATAGACCATGGAAGGGACAGTTGGTAGAATCCTAGCAACATATATGCTTGCTTGGAGTCACAACAACGGTCAGACCCATAGTTCAGAGGTCAGCCGATGCAGTGCACCTCTGATTTCTGACTGATATAACACTTACAGTCACTGAGGCAGGCTGTGCAGCCTGGACAAGCAAACACCCACCACCCACACAAAACAAAATCTACACTAGACAAACAGTTGCTGGCACCACTAATGGGCATACTCTATCTCAGGAAAACATGCTAAAACAAACAAGCAGCAGGAAAACCGTCAAAGCTGGGATGTCAACAAGCAAACGAAAAATCATAAAGGGCCCAATGCAGAGAAGCTGAAGCTAGCACACAACAACATCAATCTGACATACATGGATACGTTAAGTGGTGGACATCCCCGTAAGTTTGTCTATTAACTGTGAGCCCACGACCAAGGTGATGCTGCAGGTTTGTAGACCATGGCTCAAACTTCACATCTTTGCCAGCCCTAGGTGCCGACGGCAAGTGCTGGTCGCTGTGGCTGGGGTACAGCTCCAGGGGTCCATCTGTGTATGTGTGAGGACATATGGGGGAGGCAGGTATGCAACTGGTCAATGATTGGCTTACCTCTGAGTACTGATAGAGTAGGAGTTAGCATTAGCAAACAGGGACAACCATCAGCAGGTTATGATTGATGTATAGCTGAGACTAAAAGTCACTGTCAAAATTTAAGGCTATTTGAGGTCAGAATGTCTTTTTTAAGGTCAAAATTAAGGTTCCTGGTCAGGGCCACAATTTCACGGCTAATTTAAGATTTCCCGGTCGGCTACAAACCCTGGTCACAACTACATCTGTCAGACAGGAAGTATGGAGGGGTGGCTGCAGCCATGTGAATTTACTGGGAATCAACCTCAGTGACAAGGTCTACCACAACTGTTTAGTCTACTGTCATAACAAGATCCTGTGACATCAGCCAGCACATCTGCTTACTGTCATCACAAGCTCATGTGACATTAGCTAGCACGTCTGCTTACTGTCTTCACAAGCTCACATGACATTAGCATGCACATCTGTTTATTGTCATCACAAGCTCACGTGACATCATCCAGCACATCTGTTTACTGTCATCACAAGCTTATGTAACATCAGCCAGCACATCTGTTTACTGTCATCACAAGCTCACGTGACATCAGCCAGCACATCTGTTTACTGTCATCACAAGCTTATCTGACAGCCAGCACAAAGGCTTAATGTCATCACAAGATCACATGACATCAGTCATGGGATAGGACACAAAATATAGTGACTGCTTTAGGAAGAAGTCAATGTGAAAACCCAGGTGCCACAGAAAGTGTACATTTTATTTGATTCTGCTGAACTCACAGGGGATTACTGCAGCGCACCTGTTTTAGCTAGCCGCATTTAAACATTAGTTTGGAGCACTCATGTCAACTATCCCTGAACTCATGTGCCAGGTCGATGTCATGTCAGATATCATGGGTACCATGCAGGTGACACTGTCTGGTTTGAAGCAACTATCTACCACACACACACAATCAAGTGACTGCTGATTACACTGAAAAAAATAGCTGTCAGTACTTCAGCCCATACAAGCTGTATCATGCCATCTGACACCCATACAAGCTGTATCATGCCATCTGACACCCATACAAGATGTATCATGCCACCTGACACCCATACAAGCTGTATCATGCCATCTGACACCCATACAAGCTGTATCATGCCATCTGACACCCATACAAGCTGTATCATGCCATCTGACACCCATACAAGCTGTATCATGCCATCTGACACCCATACAAGATGTATCATGCCACCTGACACCCATACAAGCTGTATAATGCCACCTGACACCCATACAAGCTGTATCATGCCACCTGACACCCATACAAGCTGTATCATGCCACCTGACACCCATACAAGCTGTATCATGCCACCTGACACCCATACAAGCTGTATCATGCCACCTGACACTAAACATGCCCAGATGCAGCAGACACTAACCATGCTGAGGAAGACTATGTCCACACTCACCTCATGCAGTGGACAACCTGGGACATCACATACCCACAACAACCATTCATCAACATCAGAATACATGACAGCAACACTAGCAGCATGCTTCTGCAGCTGCTCTCTCCAAGTGAGAACATATGGACACACGCAGACATAAGGAGATACACAGACATACAGAGATACACACACAAAGAGATGCACACAAAATCTGTCAGGCGGGCAACATTAGCACTTGGACAGACAACATTCAGGCAGGTAACAGTTCATGAGAGCAGAAACCACACTTTCAGAGACAAGAGAACAATTAGTCCAGAAAAAAAAAAAACAACAGATAATTAGTGAGAAAAATAAATAATTAGTGAGAGAAAAAAAATAATTAGTGATAAAGAGAAATGAATTAGTGATCAAGACAAATGAATTAGTGATAAAGAGAAATGAATTAGTGATAAAGAGAAATAGTTGGTGAGAAAAACAAGACGACACATAGAGGATCAAGAGAGAAGATGAAATGTCAAGAATCATTCAATGAGATGAGTAGCAGCATGCAATGTTTGACAAGCTGTGGCTCGGAGGTGACCACATCTCAGTTCTTGTGTCTGTTACACCACAGTGTCCAGTCTGGACACCAGCGGAGGCAGCTGCAGCACATGACCGGACAATGTGAGGTAGGGACACTCAGAGAACGAGAGGCAGCACTGGTCGGAGAAAACAACTTGTCAGGGACTCAAGACTCACAACTACTGTTAGTAAAACCGTTGGACTGTGCATGCATAAATGAAGGAGATGGCGCTGAAGGCCGCATGCCAGAGACTGTCAGCTGAATGTCCGTGCTCTCCATACCTTGGTTGTCATACACTTGAGGCTTTTTGTTTGGAGGTACGGCTGTGTAAGGCGGGGGATCCCTGCCAATGAGAAGAGAAACATCCTATTTACATGACAAGCTGCACACAGAATCAACATACTCTCTACAACAGACAGACAAAACATGGGTTTCTGGCTGTAATGTCTGGCACAAGTCTGCACTTGGGAACCACAACAAAACCAGTTTAAAAGTTCAGATTGCTACGTAGCATCGTAAGACAATATCTGCACATGACCAAATCGTCTGTAGATAGACAAGTTATCTCAGTACACAATGACCAAATCATCTGTAGATAGACAAGTTATCTCAGTACACTACACAATCTAACAACATCTCACTGAAGAACCAACAGATACAACCACATTATCTGCAGACTGTAGAGTTATCTCAGTGCCGGATACAACTGACCTACTGTAAATTATACATAGTGCACAATACAAAAAACACAATCTACAGACTGCATTGCTTCCACTGCACCACACAGACTAACATTTCTTTCAACTCACTATCTATAGACCGTATGTGTCCCGAACAAACCTACACACACAGAGCTACAAGGCTAGATGCATACACTGCTCCACACAAACCTATACTCACTGACAGCTACAAGGCTAGATGTGTCTCACTGTTCCACACAAACCTATACTCACTGACAGCTACAAGATTGGATGTGTCTCACTGTTCCACACAAACCTATACTCACTGACAGCTACAAGACTAGATGTGTCTCACTGTTCCACACAAACCTATACTCACTGACAGCTACAAGACTAGATGTGTCTTACTGTTCCACACAAACCTATACTTACTGACAGCTACAAGATTGGATGTGTCTCACTGTTCCACACAAACCTATACTCACTGACAGCTACAAGACTAGATGTGTCTCACTGTTCCACACAAACCTATACTCACTGACAGCTACAAGACTAGATGTGTCTTACTGTTCCACACAAACCTATACTTACTGACAGCTACAAGATTGGATGTGTCTCACTGTTTCCACACAACCTATACTCACTGACAGCTACAAGACTAGATGTGTCTCACTGTTCCACACAAACCTATACTCACTGACAGCTACAAGACTAGATGTGTCTTACTGTTCCACACAAACCTATACTCACTGACAGCTACAAGATTGGATGTGTCTCACTGTTCCACACAAACCTATACTCACTGACAGCTACAAGACTAGATGTGTCTCACTGTTCCACACAAACCTATACTCACTGACAGCTACAAGACTAGATGTGTCTCACTGTTCCACACAAACCTATACTCACTGACAGCTACAAGACTAGATGTGTCTCACTGTTCCACACAAACCTATACTTACTGACAGCTACAAGACTGGATGTGTCTCACTGTTCCACACAAACCTATACTCACTGACAGCTACAAGACTGGATGTGTCTCACTGTTCCACACAAACCTATACTCACTGACAGCTACAAGACTAGATGTGTCTCACTGTTCCACACAAACCTATACTCACTGACAGCTACAAGGCTAGATGTGTCTTACTGTTCCACACAAACCTATACTCACTGACAGCTACAAGATTGGATGTGTCTCACTGTTCCACACAAACCTATACTCACTGACAGCTACAAGATTGGATGTGTCTCACTGTTCCACACAAACCTATACTCACTGACAGCTACAAGATTGGATCTGTCTCACTGTTCCACACAAACCTATACTCACTGACAGCTACAAGATTGGATCTGTCTCACTGTTCCACACAAACCTATACTCACTGACAGCTACAAGATTGGATCTGTCTCACTGTTCCACACAAACCTATACTCACTGACAGCTACAAGATTGGATGTGTCTCACTGTTCCACACAAACCTATACTCACTGATAGCTACAAGATTGGATCTGTCTCACTGTTCCACACAAACCTATACTCACTGACAGCTACAAGATTGGATCTGTCTCACTGTTCCACACAAACCTATACTCACTGACAGCTACAAGATTGGATCTGTCTCACTGTTCCACACAAACCTATACTCACTGACAGCTACAAGATTGGATGTGTCTCACTGTTCCACACAAACCTATACTCACTGATAGCTACAGGACTGGATGTGTCTCACTGTTCCACACAAACCTATACTTACTGACAGCTACAAGACTGGATGTGTCTCACTGTTTCACACAAACCTACACTCACTGACAGCTACTAGACCGTACTCCTGGGTTAAACACTGGTGACCTAAGTAGACGTTATATGTGCTTTTTAAAGAAGGGCCAAAAGACTAGGACTGCTGCTGCTGCTCAGATGATACTCCTGGATTCTAAAATGTACACTTACCCCTGGTTACCTCCTTGGTAAGCTTTGGCTGCAGAGACAAAAATAAACACGTGTTAGCAGAGATGTCATGGCTTAGACAGCAGATGAAGGACAGTGTTAGCAGAGATGTCATGGCTTAGACAGCAGATGAAGGACAGTGTTAGCAGAGATGTCATGGCTTAGACAGCAGATGGAGGACAGTGTTAGCAGAGATGTCATGGCTTAGACAGCAGATGGAGGACAGTGTTAGCAGAGATGTCATGGCTTAGACAGCAGATGGAGGACAGTGTTAGCAGAGATGTCATGGCTTAGACAACAGATGGAGGACAGTGTTAGCAGAGATGTCATGGCTTAGACAACAGATGGAGGACAGTGTTAGCAGAGATGTCATGGCTTAGACAGCAGATGGAGGACAGTGTTAGCAGAGATGTCATGGCTTAGACAGCAGATGAAGGACAGTGTTAGCAGAGATGTCATGGCTTAGACAGCAGATGGAGGACAGTGTTAGCAGAGATGTCATGGCTTAGACAGCAGATGGAGGACAGTGTTAGCAGAGATGTCATGGCTTAGACAGCAGATGGAGGACAGTGTTAGCAGAGATGTCATGGCTTAGACAGCAGATGGAGGACAGTGTTAGCAGAGATGTCATGGCTTAGACAGCAGATGGAGGACAGTGTTAGCAGAGATGTCATGGCTTAGACAGCAGATGAAGGACAGTGTTAGCAGAGATGTCATGGCTTAGACAGCAGATGGAGGACAGTGTTAGCAGAGATGTCATGGCTTAGACAGCAGATGGAGGACAGTGTTAGCAGAGATGTCATGGCTTAGACAGCAGAAGGAGGACAGTGTTAGCAGAGATGTCATGGCTTAGACAGCAGATGGAGGACAGTGTTAGCAGAGATGTCATGGCTTAGACAACAGATGGAGGACAGTGTTAGCAGAGATGTCATGGCTTAGACAGCAGATGGAGGACAGTGTTAGCAGAGATGTCATGGCTTAGACAGCAGATGGAGGACAGTGTTAGCAGAGATGTCATGGCTTAGACAGCAGATGGAGGACAGTGTTAGCAGAGATGTCATGGCTTAGACAGCAGATGGAGGACAGTGTTAGCAGAGATGTCATGGCTTAGACAGCAGATGAAGGACAGTGTTAGCAGAGATGTCATAGCTTAGACAGCAGATGGAGGACAGTGTTAGCAAAGATGTCATATTATCACTGACAGTACACTGAGGCACTAATCAGTATATATAAGTTAAGAATCAAGCATCAACATCACAGCACTTCACACATTCCCATGTGCACTCCATATTCAGCACTTCACACATTCCCATGTGCACTCCATATTCAGCACTTCACACATTCCCATGTGCACTCCATATTCAGCATTCCACATATTCTCATGTGCACTCCATACTCAGCACTTCACACATTCCCATGTGCACTCCGTATTCAGCATTCCACATATTCCCATGTGCACTCCGTATTCAGCACTCCACATATTCCCATGTGCACTCCATATTCAGCACTCCACATATTCCCATGTGCACTCCATATTCAGCACTCCACACATTCCCATGTGCACTCCATATTCAGAATTCCACATATTCCCATGTGCACTCCATATTCAGCCCACAGCAATCCACACATTCCCATGTGCACTCCGTATTTAGCACTCTACCCATTCCCATGTGCACTCCATATTCAGCACACCGCACTCCACACATTCCCATGTGCATGCACTCCATATTCAGCACACAGCACTGCACACATTCCTATTTGCGCTCCAAAGATTCCCATGTGCACTCCACACATTCCCATGTGCACTCCAATCATTCCCATGTGCACTCCACACATTTCCATGTGCACTCCATATGTATTCCTATGTGCACTCCATATATATTCCTATGTGCACTTCACACATTCCCATGTGCACTCCACACATTTCCATGTGCACTCCATATTCAGCACACAGCAGTTCCAATTTCTGGAGGTACAGTAGCAGTCTAATTCTATGTCCATCTTGACCTTCCTGTGATCTGCTAGTCGCTGCCCACTTGACCATTCTCTCCAGACTTTAATGATTTATTTGGGCTTGTGTATTGTTTACCTTCTCTTCAAGGGCTTCAAAGTTATTTATCTTTTCCCACCAGCTGGTGGTGCAGCACCAGCCATTCTAGCTTCATGTTTGTTTCTCTCTACACACCCGAGTGCTACAGCACCAGCCATTCTAGCTTCATGTTTGTTTCTCTCTACACACCCGAGTGCTACAGCACCAGCCATTCTAGCTTCATGTTTGTTTCTCTCTACACACCCGAGTGCTACAGCATCAGCCATTCTAGCTTCATGTTTGTTTCTCTCTACACACCCGAGTGCTACAGCATCAGCCATTCTAGCTTCATGTTTGTTTCTCTCTACACACCCGAGTGCTACAGCACCAGCCATTCTAGCTTCATGTTTGTTTCTCTCTACACACCCGAGTGCTACAGCACCAGCCATTCTAGCTGTATGTTTGTTTCTCTCTACACACCCGAGTGCTACAGCACCAGCCATTCTAGCTGTATGTTTGTTTCTCTCTACACACCCGAGTGCTACAGCATCAGCCATTCTAGCTTCATGTTTGTTTCTCTCTACACACCCGAGTGCTACAGCACCAGCCATTCTAGCTTCATGTTTGTTTCTCTCTACACACCCGAGTGCTACAGCACCAGCCATTCTAGCTGTATGTTTGTTTCTCTCTACACACCCGAGTGCTACAGACACAAGATAAAGAACACTAACTATCAGGGATCTCTGATGTTGTGTTTGCCCTCAGCACGGAGTGTGTTTCTCTCAGCACGCTTTGTGAATGCCCTAACGAGTGTGTAAACATATAATAGCTGACAACCATGGGTTACACACACAGCTGAGCTTACCTGCATTCCGTCGCCGTCTGAAGATGAAGCAGAACAAGATGATGAGCAGAGTGATGATGATGACACCACACACACAAGCGATGATGATGACATGCTCCTCCGTCAGGGTTGTCTCCTTCTCATTTGTGTCTGCAGAACAAATAACAGGCACCATGTCAGAGACGACAGGCAACATGTCACACACAACAGGCAACATGTCTCACACAACAGGCAACATGTCTCACAGACTGGCAACATGTCATAGACAACAGGCAACATGTCATAGACAACAGGCAACATGTCAGAGACAACAGGCAACATGTCACACACAACAGGCAACATCTCACACACAACAGGCAACATGTCATAGACAACAACAGCAACAAGTCACAGGTAACATGACACAGTCGACACGCAGAATATCACAGACAACACGTCATACACAACAATCACAGTCAACTGTGTGACTCTGAAGTCACTCATCAGTTGTGGTCCTCAGATAGGGCTCAAACTGACTGCCCTCCACTGACATCACTAGTTCTGTGGCACCTGGCTGCTTGTGTCATGTGACCAATGTATGCTGTATGGTCAATAGTGAGTGTACTGCACTGACTGGTTCACAGCTGAGTCATGCATGTGTGCAGGCCAGATCAATTACAATTCCAGTATATAGGAGGTACAAGGAACATACTAGAGGAGAGGGAGGGACGGGGACAGGAAGGAGGAGACAGAACACAATCAGACATAGAAGAGGAAGAGGAGAAACGAGGATGAGACCATAGAGTAAATCACCCACAGCAGTCACTGATGTATCTAAAGAATTGCTTCCATCTGCTGGCTCAGCAGCGATAAAGAGACTACAAACGTGCCCCCAGAACTGCCCACACCAGCACAAACACAAGGGACACGCATATAACCCAAATATGAGAGACAACTGCCAGAGTTTAGAAGTAAATATGTCAACAATGTCATCAAATTGTGGGTTTCCATTCAAGTCAACAGTTGGGATGTTGACAATGTCACCAGCTACAGTTAGTCCAGGATCAGCTGGCATTTGCTGACACTGACTGCGAGGAAGAGACAAGGGAGACAGACAGTGATGAGGACAGGGAGACAGGCAGTGATGACGACAGGGAGACAGGCAGTGATGACGACAGGGAGGAAAAAAAGAGAAAGCCCATGGTGCAGACGCAGCTGAACAAACACAAGGAGTCATGTGAATACCGAACACATGCAGACAGACATCAGCTAGCCTTTTTCAAGACCGGCTCTAGCTGACGGGCCATGCTGCTGACGCGTCACCAAACCTGGACAACGAAACGTTAACGCTGGGTGCAGCGACGCGTATGTTAGGGGTACTGCAACAGTAAACAAGCATTTTCCAAATCTGCTTGACATTAAATTTGCACAGTTCTTTTTAAATTCTTTTCTTAAGTATTCAAACCGCTTTAAGGGTAGGTGTGCCGCGAAATATTTTTGTCCCACGAAAAACGTTTGAGAAAATGCGTTAACGTATCGTTAGCCCGGTGTGGTAACGTCAGCAGTCCTGACAGCCGGTCTTGACCTTGTCGTGTGGTGGACACCCAGTAAATCCCCCCTCCCCCCGACTGTTGAAACAAGAGGGGGATCAGGGTCAGCCAACGACAGGGTGTCACCCCCGGCTGACGATACCAGTGGCAGTCATTGGCTGATCTTTCGAAGCTGCAGCAGGGGAAGCACAAAGGTGGCCGCTGGTGGAGGCCGCAGCCAGTACTGGAGACGGTGATGCCAGAGCCCATCAGCCAACCCACGGCTCCAGTGACCGGACAGACACAATCACACAGGAGCCTGTGGAGACACGTGACAAGGCTCGCCTGTGTTGTTGGGTCGTATCGGCTCAAACAAAGTCAAAACATCGTTCCTCGCCATTTCCTGAATGAACGTTAGCACACACATGACAAGTGCTTTGGGTCGACTTTACAAGATTACAAACACAAGTACAAAATAGACGTTGCGGTCAGAAAACTTTCATCGGAGGAAAAGAATTACCGGATGCAGCTACACTTAATTCAACTACAACTTTAATTAGCTGGGAAAAAGTGTAATGTATTTATTCATCCTGGGAACACGGGAATTCCTTCTCTCGCACACGACCCCCCCCCCCCCCCCCCCCCCCAACCCCCTTTTTTTTGTCAGACACAGCTGCAGAAGGGGAGCACAGAAAAAGAAAATCTCCAGTGACAATGTGCAAGAACACAGCGGCTTCATCAGCACCACTGACATGTGATATCAGTGTACATAGAGCACCACTGACAGGTGATATCAGTGTACATAGAGCATCAATACAGCGGCTTCATCAGCACCATTGACATGTGATATCAGTGTACATAGAGCGGCTTCATCAGCATCACTGACAGGTGATATCAGTGTACATAAAGCATCAATACAGCGGCTTCATCAGCATCATTGACATGTGATATCAGTGTATATAGAGCATCAATACAGCGGCTTCATCAGCATCATTGACAGGTGATATCAGTGTATATAGAGCATCAATACAGCGGCTTCATCAGCATCATTGACAGGTGATATCAGTGTATATAGAGCATCAATACAGCGGCTTCATCAGCATCATTGACAGGTGATATCAGTGTATATAGAGCATCAATACAGCGGCTTCATCAGCATCATTGACATGTGATATCAGTGTATATAGAGCATCAATACAGCGGCTTCATCAGCATCATTGACAGGTGATATCAGTGTATATAGAGCATCAATACAGCGGCTTCATCAGCATCATTGACAGGTGATATCAGTGTACATAGAGCATCAATACAGCGGCTTCATCAGCACCATTGACATGTGATATCAGTGTACATAGAGCATCAATACAGCGGCTTCATCAGCACCACTGACAGGTGATATCAGTGTACATAGAGCATTAATACAGCGGCTTTATCAGCACCACTGACATGTGATATCAGTGTACATAGAGCATCAATACAGCGGCTTCATCAGCATCACTGACAGGTGATATCAGTGTACATAGAGCATCAATACAGCGGCTTCATCAGCACCACTGACAGGTGATATCAGTGTACATAGAGCATCAATACAGCGGCTTCATCAGCACCACTGACAGGTGATATCAGTGTACATAGAGCATCAATACAGCGGCTTCATCAGCACCACTGACAGGTGATATCAGTGTACATAGAGCACCACTGACATGTGATATCAGTGTACATAGAGCATCAATACAGCGGCTTCATCAGCACCATTGACATGTGATATCAGTGTACATAGAGCATCAATACAGCGGCTTCATCAGCATCACTGACATGTGATATCAGTGTACATAGAGCATCAATACAGCGGCTTCATCAGCATCACTGACAGGTGATATCAGTGTACATAGAGCATCAATACAGCGGCTTCATCAGCACCACTGACAGGTGATATCAGTGTACATAGAGCATCAATACAGCGGCTTTATCAGCACCACTGACATGTGATATCAGTGTACATAGAGCATCAATACAGCGGCTTCATTAGCATCACTGACAGGTGATATCAGTGTACATAGAGCACCACTGACATGTGATATCAGTGTACATAGAGCATCAATACAGCGGCTTCATCAGCACCATTGACATGTGATATCAGTGTACATAGAGCATCAATACAGCGGCTTCATCAGCATCACTGACAGGTGATATCAGTGTACATAGAGCATCAATACAGCGGCTTCATCAGCACCACTGACAGGTGATATCAGTGTACATAGAGCATCAATACAGCGGCTTCATCAGCACCATTGACATGTGATATCAGTGTACATAGAGCATCAATAAAGTGGCTTCATCAGCACCATTGACATGTGATATCAGTGTACATAGAGCATCAATACAGCGGCTTCATTAGCACCATTGACATGTGATATCAGTGTACATAGAGCATCAATAGAGCGGCTTCATTAGCACCACTGACAGGTGATATCAGTGTACATAGAGCATCAATAGTGCTCTTGTCTGGCGGCCTGTGGGAGCTGGCCGGGCTGAGGATAACGGTGCGGTAGGAAGAGGCAGGAGACAATCGGGGAAAGGGGGCATCTGACAACAACACACGTGTATCCAGTGTAAAGGCAACAAAACCACATGATATCACAGTGCCGATCAAATGGGTCTTTTTTCTTCTTCGAGCTGCTAACTGCATGTCGAGATTATCACACACAGCACGAACTCAGTAGCCCTAGCGATACCTGTGAAAAAGGTTGTACAGGTCAAGAGAACGAAAATTTTGAAAAAGAGTGGTTCGACTCCGAGACAGTACGGCCAGGGCGACTGTCCGAGTGTATGCATCTCTCGCCAACTGAAACCGTATTTATTTTTCCGACAATGTGCAGGGGCAGAACCAGAACAATTCGAGGACTGTAGAAGACTACGACGACAGTACAGGATGGACACAGCGTCAGATGATCAAAGACGGCGAGTAAGTAAAGGGCATGTGTCCACGCCTTCAGGTGTTGTGGGCATACAGGGCTAGACCTATATTTTATAGACCAATCGGCAAGTCAAGACGGTGTGTCAACTAAACCAGAAGACTTGACATAGCAAACACTACAAAGTCATCATCCACTCGATATAAACTAGTTGGCCCCTCGCCCTCTATCCCCCACATATACGAAATGCGTGTGCGATAGTGAAGACCATTTCTTTTTAGCGTCACTCCAATTACCGACGAGTGAAAGAGAAGGACGACTGAGGGGAGTGACTGGAGGCTCAAGACGCAGGCAGAAACTGGCCTGCTGGTTTGTACGTGGGAACCACGTTACACAACCACGTGAGCCGACAAGTCGACTCTTCCAGGGCGGGCGGCTTTGCCTAGGGAAAACAAAGACAGCAAACAGTTCTAGAACAGATCTTCACAGGCCAGCAGCTAGCGTGTGCCTGTCCTAAAGGTGTGTTCACCTATTTGTGAGCTGACGTGCTTGCTGTGTGCACATGCGGAGGCTCTCAGTGTTTGTGCTGTTCTTCATGACTTCTAACATCAGCTGTTGTCCTCGCCTTCTACAAATGTCTTGTCTCCTGCTACTTCCGTGCTTCCTCAGCCAACCATCACCCCCCCCCCCCCACCCCGGGGCTGGCAACAGTAATACTTGTACACAA